GTGATCTACTTGGATAATAAGGTGTTATCAGCTCTTTGATATATGAGGGGGCGTGATTGTTGAGGGCTTTAAATGTGAGGACAGGGAGCCAAAGTAAGGAAGCTAAGACAGGAGTGATATGATCTCTCCTTCTAGTTCCTGTCAGCACTCGTGCTGCAGCATTTTGGACCAACTGGAGACTTTTAACAGTCTTCATGGAGCATCCTGCTAATAGAGAGTTACAGTAATCTAATCTAGAGGTTACAAACGCGTGGACTAGTTTTTCAGCATCCTGCTTAGACAGGATGTTTCTCATTTTGTTAATATTTATCAATAATACTCACAAGAAAATAATAACTCTTGTTACAAATGACTTTGTTGCATGCAGTTGGTTGAATGAAAGACATTTTGCAGGTATGTGATGGCTTTAAAAGTTTATAATAAATAAAAAAAAGCCAGATAGAGAAAAAGTTTCATAGACAGATATGACTCTGGGGTTTGCATGAGCTGGTAAGAACGCAGGTGGACAGTTAAGGTTGCGCTAAAAAGGTTATGATGCTAAGACCAAACTAAGTTGCAGAAACACACACTAATTAAGCCACTGCAGCAAGTGTGATTAGTCTGGGACAACAAACCCTCATCTGGACCACGACATGATTTTGTCTGGCATTAAATCCTCCACAAAAGAGGGGAGGGAGTCACAGACATAATTATACGCAGATATGAACACCTTTTACCAATCTCCTGTGTCTCATTATAGGGAACTGAAGTCATAGAGCTTCCAATGCTCGTTCACCAGAGAAACTGTGTTTGATGGAAACTGTTAAAATATGTGAATAGCAAGTTGCTAATTGAAGGAGTCATGGCCAAAGGCACAAACACTGATGATAAAGATGCTGTAGGTTGCATCCTGAACCAGAGAACATTTGCTTCCTATAGCTTTTCAATCATTCATACAAATGTTATGACGCACAGGAAACACATAATTCATGATTTCTTAATAAATTATGTTATATTACTTTAAATATCTTCCTTTGACATTACACAATCAGAGGATTCATTCGAGGAGAGGGTGTGTTAAATCTCAGTTTCAGAGGAATCTTTGCACAACAGTTTACTCGTGAAAGCTTGAATAAGTCTGCCTTGAGTAAGCCATTCCCGGGAAGTGTCGTCCTTTTGTTTGGGACCGATCATTACTGGGCCCATCAGGGACAAGCAGATGTCATCATCTGCCTGGTAGAGCACGATGATGAATAACCATGGGGTGGCGGAGTTAGGAGAATCATAGGAAACCTATGCCAGTCGCAAAGTCACACACGTGAAATACACATATTATTTCTCTGAACAACATACAGAACTGCAGACATGGGGCACAATCATGTGAGTGTGTTCTGGGAGTTTTTATATTTTCAAGCAACTGAAGATACTGAAGATAAAAACGGGGCTTGTCCGAATTCTGTGTACCTGAGAGATTTGGATTAGTGAGGTCCTGCTGTGTACGAACAGTTTTTGAGACATTCGTTAAACCCCACATGGTTTTTCTTCCTGCATTTTACACACATCAACAACACCTATCTACTAAACCAGTCAGAAGCCAGTGCTGAGTTTTTTTCAAACTTCCAGGTGTAGAAATTCAGTCCCTGGTTATTTAAACATAATGCATCCACAACACTCCTAGTTTTCTTCTGTGATTTCTCCTGACTATTGCAGTTTTTTTTTGTCTCCTCTGCCCAAGACCTTGTCCCTCCATTATTATCCTACTGACTGCTTTCCCTACGATAAGTGTTGACATGAAAACTGTATTTCTTTTAAAAACCCACATTTTCAATAAATGCTATTAACATTCACTCATCAACTAAACAAAAAAAAATTTTTTTTTGATAGAGTCCAAACTATATCACCAGCCTATAACCTGCAATCGACTGTATGGCAAAAACCTCAATGAGCCTGTTTTCAACTGCTGCTTTGTTTTTCTCCACCTAAACTCCACTCCTTGCCTGATTGTTGATTTACAACTCAACGTGTTATGTTGGTTTTAACATGAGTGCTGGTTTCAGTCACTAAATCTAACAACATCTGACAATCTGATTACTGTGTGCTACCCTACCACTGACTGTTTTCAACAGAAACATGTTTGACAATGTTTGCAAAGGATTTCATTCAATACCATTTAGCTGTTGTCTTTATTCTCTAACCAGCATGGCTCCTCACACCTGCCTGAAGCCATTAACAGCTATACTACTATGCCATAGCAGTGGGTTGTGGAGGATACCATACATGAATGTTCATAGAAAATTATGGGCATGGTGCTAAATAAAGAACAATTTTTACGATCTGAATAATGCCCACAGACTGGATGATGCACATGTGCAAACATTTAGTCATAATATGTTATTCCCCCCTAAACATATGACGTCTTTAGTCGGGAAACAAGATTGACTATACCAGGTTAAGAGTTCTAATTAAATGCATCCATTCTACACACATGATAATTACACTGAAGAAGCAGGGAGTCTGTGCAGCAGTCACCTTTTCTCCTTGTTCCATGTACGGTCTCTGGGAGACAATGTTCTCTGGACACAGGCAGAAACAAATTGAAACTTGGGAGCGAAATACAAAACACTCTTCTAAACAGCAGGGAGCAGGCGCTCCGAGGAGAGAACACTGAACTCGCCAACAATGGCTGCACCTGCAGCACATTTATTTCCCCCTCATCCTGATTCACCCTGCCAGCCACCCAAAATAGGAAATTAAGGTCCGAGGAGTGTATACTTCAATGACGTCATGTTACATGATTTCTGAATGATGAAGTCGTCCTCGGTCTCAAAACTTCAAACAGTTGCCTCCTGCTGTTCACGCTTGGGGACTCAAGTGCAAAGATGGCTGGTGCACCTTTAAATAGTCGAATTGTTTGCAAAGACATTGAGACTTTATTCAGATAATGTGCAAGTGCAGTGTGTTGTATTTTAAATACGCTATCAGTGTACCATGGGTGACATTCATGTAAGTGAAATGGAAAGGCGGCCTCACTGAATGGAGGCTGAAACCAAGGGGATCAAACCATCCACGACATTTCAAGTCTAGTCCTGGGAGAGATCGTCCCTTTATTGTCCTTTACTGGTTCGCTGCAGAACACATTAAAATTCCACCCACTTCAATATGAGTCAACAACACCAGAGTCCATCTCTTTATCATAGAAAGTAAAGGTGAATAGTCATATCCAGGAGTCAAGTCACAGTCCATTCTCTTCATGATTCGGGTTGAATTAATTGAGCTTTTATGGAATATACTGTATGTGACGATGTGATGAAGCCTAATCCTGGTCTTAGCTGGCAGTTTCCTCCTCCTTATTTCAACTGCCCTGAGTTTAGCCCCCAAAAATGATGTAATTACTGTTCCAAGGTCAGTAAAAATATTTATATATATTTTGAGCAGGACGATAACAAACTGTACAACAGTGCATTGAGAGTTTGTAGTCTGATAGAGCACTAGTGTGCAAAACAAGGTGACAGCACATCACAAGAATAACGACTTGTCTAATCCCATAGAAAATGCAATATAACAATCAAAATGAAAATAAATGTAGAAGAAAATGATGTGAAAACATTGAAAATTTGTAAAATAACTGCTTAGTCTTCGTCTTAGAATGAATCTTTTGTGAGTGGAAATAAAAACGCTTTACAGCAGTACATGCAGGCCCCTTAATGTCAGCAGTGTCTAAGTATGTGACAATACAGACTGATCCATTGTCTACTCAAAAATTTTCTGCCAGGTAAAATCTCACTTTCTGGGTTTCTAACATACTAGTCCAAAATCAACAGCTATTTTATCCACACTGCGCAGTTCAAACTCATCATCGTGCATTAACAGCACAGCCGCAGTTCAAATCTTCAACATAAATTCGGAGCACTGTGGATTTGTCATCTGCAGCCACCTCCTGTGATTAAGCCCCCTGCTCCACTCAATAATGGCTTAGATCCATATATGTTTGAAATGTGAATCTGTTTATTGCACAAATGCTGCAGTAAATCCTTATCACTGCAACACAATCCCCTGACTGCCAAAGCTACAGTTGGCAGTTAAATCTATAAATCTCAATATATCAGCAATACAGGCTGAATTCTGGTGTAAAAAGAGTGATGGAGGTATTTTAACATAGAGAGATATGAAAAGTAATACCTACCATATACATAGAGGATGTAGTCATCGTAAGCCTCGCCCACCGTGTTGGACGCTACGCAGCGATAGGTGCCGTTGTATGACTTGTTGAGGTTCTCGATGTACAGATCGGAGCCGGTGACCACGGCGTGAGACGGCACATCCTCGTCCACCCTGAGCCAGTTGATCTGATGGGGACTGGAGAACACAAATACCACACATGCATCACTCAGGCGCTGTCGATCCACGCTAGAAATCTGAAATAAAGGTCAAATCTGAGATGGTCTGAGGGGGGGCAACTGGCAGGGCCTGTCTAATGATGTCCTTCATACAGCGTGCTAACAACTGTTAACAGTTAAATGGTATAATGAAATGTGAAGGTGAAGGGCATCTTGGACTGGCAGAAGGGGGATGTGGTAAATGGTAAATGGACTGCAGTTAGATTGAGCTTTTCTAGTCTTAATAACCACTCAAAGCACTTTACACTACAGGTCACATTCACCCATTCACACAGACATATGGCCATTTTATATGCTGGGCTTTTTCTTTCACACACTGAACCCAAACTTCGCCTGAATGGAACAGCCATCAGTGGCAATTTAGGACCTTCAGCAGCTCGTCCACAGTAAAAGTACTTTACAGTTTTTGTACAAGCAGTTTACGATGACCTTAATCAAAAAATACTAGACTCATAATACTTATAGCAGAAATAGTTTTTATTCCCCATCATAGCAAGACAAATATGCTGAATTGTATTCAATGGAAGATAATTTGGTAGTGGATTACTCCCAAACTATACAGTCAAAGTACTTTATTCTATTTTGTACTAGTAGTTTAAAATGTACTTATTCCAAAAGTATAAGAGTCATGATCTACTTATGGAAGAAGTAGTTTTTGTTTCCCATCAAAGTCAGACAAACAGACTAAATTTTGTTCAATGGAAGAGCCTTTGGCAGTGGATTACTCCAAAACTACAGGATAAAAGTACTTCAAAGTACTTTTACAAGTAGCTCAAGATGTACCTATTAGTAATAAGACTCATAATCTACTTATCTACTCATCAAAGTTAAATTAAATAAAAATAAAATAGGCTGTATTTTGTTTGAAGTGAGTGGATTACCCCAAAAACAAATTAAATGTACTTCATACTATTTGTACAAGTATAGTTTAAGATATATCAATTCCGACATAAGTGGACAAGCCACTCTACCTGCTGATATACAATATGAAATGATGTATAGGTATATGTAGTTTATCCGTGAACACTCACTGTGGTTTTCCCTCTGCGATACACGTCAAGTCTAGATTGTCACCTTCTCTGGTTAAACCCTCAGGATATGCCACCACAATCTTCACTTCTGGTTTATCTGAAAGGGAAAAAAAAGGTGAGTAGTTACAGTGTTCCAGTGTCATAAGTCATGTCGAGACAACACATTATATTTCCCATCACCTGCAGCTAAAAGAAAAGGGTGGAATGATCGTGGGCCCTGAGGTGAAAGACACAGAGAGAGACACAGACGTCGTAATGAAATGATTATGCTGAGTGTTTAGTCGACTTTCTGAGAGTCCACATTCAGCAAAATGATTTTTTCCTCTTATCAATGCTCACCAAAGATTACCAAAATGTCAAGCAATTCCAGTCAAGCTCTCTCTTTTTCCTTGAAAGGTCAGAGAAAACAGTTGTCTACCTGAAAAAAAATTAATATTCCACACAGACTACAAAAGGGTACCATAACCTTTCTTTGATGTTTAACAGTGTAAGGCAGCCGCTACTACCTCTTCAATCAATGCACCATTTAAAAAACACCTAAACATCATCTGACACCAGAGTTAAAGTTTTGACTCCCCTGTGGGGACTGTATCTTATGGTCTGCTGGGAGATTAGAATGACAGGACTGTATGATCCATAGAGAACAGTGTCAGCCAGAATAAAAACGTACAGTACATCGATGATCCAAAACAAAGAGCGTGCACCTGACACGCTCCATCAAAAAGAGTAGTCCACAAGTTTTTAGTTGTTCTCCATCTGTCAGTAGCAGTTTTTTCTCTTTGTAGGAGTTTATTATAATTGTTCTTCTCTTGTTGGGCATTCCAGTGATGGAAACCTGACATCTGGGTGAAACTGCTGATTTGGCAAGACAGCAAGGTGAGAGAGAGTGCATTCATGAGAAAAAACTGTGAGGTTAACTCCTCTGGTTATGATAAAGCAGTCAATCGCATTTTTGTTCTTGGTTTAAAAACATGTTTAAAACCTGTGTAAATACTTGCTAATTTTGTGTCTCGTTTTGTGTCATTTTGTTTCTCCTTGTAGTAGTTATTAGTCCCATTGTGGTTGTTCTGTCTTTCCTGTGGCTCTTTGTATCTTTGTGGTCATTTTACAATCTCTGTTGTCGTTTTGTGCATCAATTGGAGTTACAGTATTTTGCATGTCATTGTTGTCTTTTTGCGTCTTTCACAATTCTGTTTGCTTCTCTCTCTCTTTGTAGTTGTTTTGAGTCTCTTTGTGGTAATTTCTGTCCCTTTATACTTACAATATTTTAGGTTTTTAAGTTTACAGTCATTTCAAACAGAGGCCAGTGGGACCGTGAGGAAAGCCTGACAAGACTCTGAGTTGACTAAATAACTTAAATATTATGCACCTTTGATTCATGAGAAATGTCATGTGATATAAATAGACAGCCCCATCAGATAGTAGTTAAGCTCCCAGACAAGAAACAATCTCTGGTGCCGTAAAAACAGTTTTAGGTCACTCACATAGCACTTCCAAGTGTCTTTGAGCCAGAAGGTCCTTCACAGCTGGGTGGTCAATGATGCAGTCCACTGGTACTCCATCATCCTCTTTGGTGACAGAAAATGTTACCCGGCTGCTGACGGTAAACATCCTGTCATACGTCTCCTCAACTGTTGTCTCCCCTAGAAAAGTCATCACAAGCACGAGATGGGAAAAGGTTAATGGCCAAACCGCTCAAAAAACAAATCTGAAATCCTGCAGCCAATGAGCAAACAGTATTAGCTATTAGGAGCACATTACCTGTCAAACTAGAGTGCGTTCAAACGGCATTCACATTTAATTCATGACTCGGTGATGTGGTGCCTAAATGAGACTTGGGAGGATTCAGGTGGGCCAGAGGCTTTCACTTGTGATGAGAGCAGTGAGGAGCGGCTGAGTCATATACTGTAAGCCTGATAATGAATGCCTGTGCAGCTTGAGGGCTGAGCATTGTTGGGGCTAACCCTGCAGTAATCCGCTGCCCACTAGGCCCTAGGCTGTCAGAGGGGCATTCATTTAGAGAGTATTACAATGCCACAGGGGCATGGCATTAGCCGCAGTGCTGGGTATGATGGTTTACTCGCACTTAATGAAGTGAGGAAATAATTACAGCCCCACTCTGACCTGCAGCACACTTCCATTTCAGCCTTGTCGCAGGGGAGCCCGGCTGGACTCAGGGCAAAACACTGTTGTTACACAGTTGATGATCACCGGTACACACATATGTGGCCTCTTGATGGATATTAACCCCATGTAACACACACCCACCCACTCCTCCACCCACCCAAGAGCTGCCTACATAAAATTTAAAGTACTGGGATCAGTGAATGGTCAATGAGCTTGAGGGCATTAAATTTGACCACTCTGCCAAGTGTGGTGAGAGAACAGACTATTTGAGAAGCACATTGACTGTTAGAGGAGAGTGAGTAAGTAATAACAGTAACATAATGACAATAACAGCAGGAATAAAAGGCGTGACTGTGATGAGAAAACAGAAATAAACGACTTTTTGTTTGGAAGCTGTGTTCATCTTTGTTCTTTCTTACAGACTCAGCCAGATGGCAAACTGTTCATCTATTAACATCTGAACACATTTAAACCCACAATGAGTAAAACATTACAAGATGCAGAACATCGACTGTTTTCAAGTTATGAAAATGTACACTTTTTTAATGTCACCTTTACGTAACAGAGTTCTTCAGTCAGTGGTCACAGAATTTTTTGAAAATAGCTAAAGGACAACAGAATTCCATATGAGGAGCTCCTTTGTCACCATTAAATCACAGAGAGCAAACAAATAATACGTGACATTTGTGAGGTTAACGAGGGTGTTTCCATGGACTGAGTTCAGTTACGAGGTTCCGAGGGCTGTGGTGATCAGTCATCATCCCCTCGTCCAATCACAGTGTTTAATGGCTCAGATCTAAACAGCTCTTCAAATTGGAGATTAATGTCAGTCTTAGGTCCTTCAGAGTCACATAACTCAGAATAAAATGTGATTGGGCTAAATATTCATCTCAATAGTAACATTTTTATTTTCAAACATATATAATACTTGAGATGATTAATCATTTGGATAATCTGTAATTTTCAAGCAAAAGTAGAGGAAATCATGTCAAATATTTACAGATTTTAGCGAGACGATATAAACGAGACCATTTTAGTCACATGTCGATAAACTGAATATTTAGGAGTTTTTGGACTTTTGGATGAATAGAACACATCTGACACCTTCAGCTCTATAAAATTGAAGGGGCATTTTTTTCTCAGTACCTCTACAGACCCCTGAGCACCATAATGTAGGACTGCACTCTTCTGGACCGAAACTTAAGATGTGGTAATCTGTTGGACCCAGACTCTCCGTTTGGGGTCACAGCCACTAATGCTTGAACAGGTAACAGCTTTCCACTTCCACATCTGCTCCAGTTGTTCTTTCAGCCCCTGGTACCTCTCAATCTTCTCGTGCTCTTCTTTCCTGATGTCACTGTCAGCTGGATTGACTCATCTATCACTGCCACCCTCTTCTGCTCCTTGTCAACCACCACTGTGTCTGGTTGGTTTTCCATGAGCTTCATTCATATGGTTTTACTGATGTCGGAACGAGCTGCTTCTTGGTCAGTGTGGATGTTCAGCTCATCAATTCAGTATCCAGACTGTGTCCATATTGTATAAAATTTCATACTCATATTCTCTGCCACGACAGCACTTCACTTGTTGGAAACTTTGCAGGAAACAATTGTATAACTGCAGGTTTCATAAAAAAAAACTGAGTTCCTTCAGTGCAATGTCAAAGAGATGTAAAATGGCCCCATTCTATCTCATACTGCCTTGTCTGCAAAGTCCCCAGATGTTGTGCCTCTCATTTGGCCTCTGCACCACGCAAAGTACCGAAGGGACAAGCCAAACACATTTCAAGGTCAGGGAAATAGCACTGCTCCCAGCTCGACCCAGTGCTGTCATGAAAAGCAAATTAAATCCTTAATTTGATTTCTAGTATTAATTATTTTTGGTTATTATTCTTCTCGCAAAGGAATTTTAATATGAAAAATGTCTTAAAGTTCTGTGCAATGGTTTGAAGATCGGAATCGTGTTGATGGAGCCGTTATCATTGTACAGGCCAACCGACGCTTGTCAATTATCAGTGTCATCCAAACTCAGATGAGGAAAACAACTGTGGATCAGGTCGTGCAAGGACTTCAATCTGAATGCAGAGGAGATTTGAGTGTTGCAGCAGAGATGTCAAATCAAACGCTCTTTTGAGCATCAACCCCCGATCAATCCCAGCGCAATCAAGCATAGCCTCTTCTCAGGGTGACATTTTCTTTCAGTCGGTTTCTTGTGCCTGCCATCGCTCTCTGCAGCACCACAACTGATCAAGCCACTGCACTGGCATTACCATTAATAAAGCAGGCTATAATTAAGATCATATAAATGCCAAAATTGCACTGGATCAATACAGAATAATACTAGTGCCATTATACAAGTGAATTTTAATTATGTGTTCGTATGTTATTGCAAACATGAATATTATGCTGTCATTTTGAAAATAGAGCACTGCTTGGATGAAGTTGATAAATAATTTACAAATATTTGAAACTGAGTTAGAAGCCATGCATTCCTTGAATGAAACTTTTTCTTTTTAGTTGCCAGGTTTGTGGAAGATCTTCAAGACGAGTGAGTCATGCTGGGGTAGGATTTTTCACCACCTGGCAGCCCAAAAGAAAACGTTTTCTTAAAAGCTGCCTATAGCTGATCTATACAGCCTTAGATTTAGATTCTATTAATTACAGCATTATTTTTATTCAATAATAATAAAAATATTTTTACTCAATAAACATAACCAAGGTGAAGGTAAAGATTATGTCCTGGATGTGATCATCTCGGCAGCTCTTAGAGTAGGTAACAATTCACTAAACTTACTGAGGACACGCTCAGTTATTTAAGCTGAGATCCAGTCACTCAGACCACATTGGGAGGTGGTCTGTGCTGCATATGACCACAATCATTTAACAAAGTTTACACATATGCGTCATTGGCAACACATCAACTGCCAACTGAAACGATGCTTTTCATATCTTTACACTTTTCTTTACATCAATTTATTTGTGTCCTACCACATTTTCTTCTCTTTTTAATATTTCAAATAAGTAAAATCTAATTTCATGGTAGAGTTGTGCACAGCGCATTGATTCGCTCAGCCCCTCATCGCCCCTCTCTCTCTCTCTGTCATGGTCGAACTGGCTTAAAAGCCGCAACGCGTTTGGTCTTTGCAAACAGAATTGACGTACGTGTGTATTTGCATACAGAGCAGGGAAGCGAGATCCCATCACAAGTTAGTCACTCGAGACTCTTTCTAATTCCAGGTGATGTACTCAGAGCTGTCCACTCGTGAACAGATTCACCCGAGACACATGTTAATGTCAAGTATGAACAGGGTCTGTGTCTCCAATGCTGTATCTGTTACTACAACTTTAACTGAGGGACATTCCAGCATCAAAATTTAACAGGTGCCAACATCTCAAAAAACTGACAGTTGACGAGATGAAATATTTAAAAATTGACATCAACATTATTCATTTTTTATTTCCTATCGCCTTCTTCTGTGAATTGAATTTGGTCACATGTCATGTCACAAGTTTCAATTGAAAGTGATGTGTTCTTTATCTTTTTTTCTTTTCTGAGTGTCTTCTGTAGCATGTAAATCAACACATATATTAATTTATTCAATTTTTATTTAGCTTTTATTTTATCTGCCAAAAAATATCCCCCAAAAAGGTACCTGAATAGTGATGCCATTATGAAGGTTAAAATATGTCTAAGTATGTAAGTAATTTAAACTTTGTTTTCTGCAAAATCAAAACAAAATATTTCTTTCATTTATTTTGTTGCATACAAGGTCTACTAACTGTTCAACATTCTGATTAAATATCATGCATAAAATTTCACATAATCACATACAAATGTTAAAAACACATCGTTTAAATACAGCTGTCCGATGGAACAAATCTCCTCCTGTATTTAGCAGCAGTTGCAGCTGAGCTCTGGGCTCCGCTACGTTTACATAAAATTGCAGCTGTCATTTATGCTAATGGGCATTTCGCCACCTTGTGTGTTGAGTCTCTCTCAAGCCAGAGCCCATCAGTCCTGCGCCTGCCAGCATGATAAATGGTTGCGAGACAAATTCGGCCAATTTTAAAAGTGTGTTTAAATTAGCCAGCAAATTTCTTTCTTGGCATCGCAGCTGTCTTGCCCACACGCAGACGTGAGACAAACATGATCACAGAGATTCCACAAAACCAGCAATGTGTGCTTTTTAAATCTCAGTATGTGCAGGAGCTAATGAATTGTTTAGCATGTCCATAATGAGTAGTGATTTGTGCTTCCTGGGGCACAGGAGGACGTGACTCCCTGGCTCTCCTTATGCATCCACTGCCACTATGGATTAGCCCCACTCAGCATGTCAGACATGGCATTTCGCTGATCTAACCGTTCTGTTGTCCCTCCCTCCCCTTCACAACACTCCACAACTCATAAACAGAAATTGACTTCAACTCCTGTAGGGAACACTGGAGGCACAGATGGCATTTAGCTTCAGATTCGTTCTTGTCTAAATATTTCATCTCTCAACAAGCCAAATGAATCCTCTCCATTCTAATACATATATAATTTGACAACAAGCCCTCAGATAGCCACTCTGTGTAAATACAATATGACTAAAATGAATATCCCCCTCTGCTGTACAATAAGGCCATAATGAATAATTGATGACCCCTTATCATAACTGAGAGTTAATAAGGATTTTTCACCACCCCAGATCATATACCCCTCTCTACCTGATGCTGGCCAAAGGCCCTGAAATGAGTAAAATGTGCAAAGTTCACATTGACCATGTGTACATAGAACAAATTTAGGATTGTCTAGGCTTGAAAACACAATCCAGTAGCAGTCAAGATGTAACGTAAAATATATTTACACAATTTTAAATCTTAACCAAATTGCTGAGATGGAAAAAACAACATTAAAGTCAATTTTTTTGTAAAAGGTATGACATATGTAACATGAGCCTGGATTGCAGCTCTGAATGCATATTTGATTATTACATATTGTAGGGATAAGGGGATTTTACAAACAAAAAAAAAGGAAAAAAGAAATAAAGAAACCACTCTCCTCCACCAGCCGTATACGCCAAGTGTGATCATCTTCCAATACAAGTCAGTTAACATAATCAGTGCAATGCACGTTAATGTTTTTCCAAGAGACATTTTGCTCACAGAGGAAGTGCCTCCAGAGACCTAGAGAAGTGGACAAGCCTGGACATTGTAAAGTAAACTGTGGGTGGCTGTTATTCTACTGACCTGTCAGTTCTTCCTCCCCTTTCATCCATCTGATGGAGGCAGCTGGCTTACTGCCCATGGCTGTGCAGGTGAGCTCCGTCTCATTCCCCTCGCTGACCACATCCTCGCGGCTCTCAATGATTGGACTGCCTGGCGGGACTGACCACAGCGACAGAAAGACACGAGCTCCACAATATTAATACACACTTAACACTTAATAATAACAAGGGCACATGGGTAATGCATGGATGCCTGTTCCTCACCATTAAGGAACAATCAAGTCATTAGACACTTAATAGATGATCAATTAATCACAATTAATTTTTACATTAATAAATGTCATCGAAGGACATTTCAGATCATTGCATTTGAGCAGCTTCTCTGAAAACAGAAAACCGAGCCTGTTTATACTGAATCTACATTAAGTCATTGTTTGCAAATTATTATCGCAACATGACTTCAACTGTGTAACTTGTCCCTATAACTGGTAAAATAACAATAAAGTAATGAGTACTTCACGTCTCCTATAACACTCAGTAATTGATTTATTGTGTGAGTCTGTGGCCCTTTTCTTTGCTTTAAAACATCTGTCCATTCCCCCCTCACTTGTCAACAGCCACCTGCTGGATGTTACTGAGGCTAATGTTGGGGAATTAAACAGACATCTTGTAACTGAGACATAAACAAGGACGGCTCATGATGACACGTGGAGATGCTTAATGATTTCAGGGTCATTTATCTTCTGCTCTCAGAGCTGAAGTGGATTCCAGCTTATTTGATGGCAGAAATTAACGTATGAACTGACTGTGAGTTCTGCTAAAGGATAGTTTTAAAGGATACAGGGATGCCTTGAGTTAAATACTAATCAGTCTGCCATATTTCTGTCAGTTGCATGCTCTACCATTTTCCATATACTTCTACTTACCACCAATAATTTAGGTTGGTCTATCCAGGGGTATATTTTTTTTTTACAGGAAAATGGAAAATAACACATCTCTTGATAATTGACTTTCTCAAGTTTATTTGGATTTAGAGTAATTCTTTAAGCAGTTGGAATTATTTACTATCTCATCCCTTCTTGGTTAAGCCTGCTAGCATATCCAGAGTAGTACAGCTGAGGTTGGTATTCGTTCCTAAAAATAAATTAAAATGATGACCTAATGGTGCTAGAGGAAAATGCAGGTGATTACTTTAACCTGCAACCAATAGTCCTAGCAATAGTAATGCCCGCACCCCAAAAAAGCAGTGAACCTGCAGTTTCTTTTTGCTTTTTTTACCTTTCAATATCCACCCTCTTATTGCTCAGTTTTTGGTCTCTATACCAACTCATTAGTAATATTTCTTTAGCTGTGAAATACCCCACTGTGTTTACTAATAAGTGCATTTTCATACCTGTAGTCCATCTATAGCGCCCCCCCCCTCCCCCAATTTGGTGCAATTGTTTTGGTCCAACCTCAAGTGTGATTACTGTGTTCACACCTGCACAAACAAATCGCACCAAGGGAGAAAATGGACCAAACTCCAATTGTACGGGACTGAAGAGCAGGTGTGAAAACACCCTGACTGTGTCCGTCTGCTGTTTGGAGCTGAGCAGGTAAAGTAAACTGCGTTTTACAGCTTTTTCTTTGAAAATCGCTGCTTGCTTCAGTCACTATGAGACCAACACAGTTTACAGACTGAGCCATCAAACAATCAGCTGAAACTCACTAAAAAGCTCTGTAAAGCCGAGTAGAGTTGCACACTGGAATCACAATTCTCTGTAAGTTCATTTCCTTCGTCATCGTCACATCATTTTCACTTGTCATTTTTATACATTGTTAGTAAAAATGTATGTTCACAATGAAAGTGGAAAATTATACATTTTTAATCCTCTAGGGACAATGACTATCTGTCAGTTGTTGAAATATTTTAATTTGGACCAAATTGATGAATGAACAGATAACACATATACCCATATAATAATTTCTTATAAATAAGCCCAAATAATTCAAAATATATCTACTCATTTATATAATAAATCATCGTGACTCATGCATCAATAAAGCATCACTTAAGGATATGTTTCATATCCTCATTATGAAGTTTTATTTAAAATTATATGTCAAGCATGTGTTATTACAAAATATAGTTACATGTACAATCTACACATACTGTAGGAGGGCTCAGTTTCCCCTTGTCCCCTGCATTAGTCACCGCAGCGAACTTGCTCAACTCCAGTTACACGAATGCAAAAAGTCAGTGGGGTGTTTATTTCAAGGACTCTTCAATGCAACCCATGGTTCACAAATACTGCAGCTAGGTTTCAATTGTACAACTAGAGTAATTACTTTAAAGTGCTTTTAATTCCTTTCAATCCCCCAGGATGTCTGCATGTATAATAAAAGCTTAACTAGAGTAATTTCGCTGCAAAGCATTAAAGTGTGCCACAGCTGACTCTCAATAGGGAATCGTTTGGAGCAGCCAAGTCAACATTCACCAGGATTCACAGAGTCAACACAGCTGCCAAAAGCAACGCGGTCTGAGCCATCAGTTTCAGCATCTGCTCCTTTTCGTTATGCTGTCGAGCACCGCGAGGGCCTAATTGGCTGACATTTTGTTTCAGTTGCTAAAGATAACAGGATCAAAGATAACTATTATTTCATACCCATATCTATAATGGAGCAGGGATATAATAAGAGTTTGTGTGAAAGTGAGGAGGGGTGTGATACATGCGCGAGGCTCACACGTGCACCCTCACATACACCTACCCAGGACCGTGATGTCTGCGTAGGCTTCCTGAGGAGGATCCGTGTAGAGCTGGCAGACATAGCGTCCCTCATCGGAGAGTGACACATTGGACAGAGACACCCGCAGTTCGTTGTCAGAGAAATTCACCAGCTGGAACCGGCTGTCCTTCAGAGCTGTGGGGATACATGTGAGACAGAGACAGTGTGGATGCAGAGTACAGGGACACGAACGTGAGACAAGGAGTGAGAGAGCAAAGAGGGAAGGGGGAAATTGGAAGCGGATAGGGGTGAGAATGGGAGAGGAGATGGAGAAAGACAAAGAAGTTGTGAGGAGAAAATGAGACAGGGAGAGAGCGAGGTATGAGAGTGTGTGTGTGTGTGTGTGTGTGTGTCTGTGTGTGTGTGTGTGTGTGATGGGGGTGCTGCCATTTTGTGGGCTTTCTCCTTAATTGAGTAAAAGAAAAGTGAGTTTGAAAATGATTCATAGTTGATTTATAAAGTAGCTTTACAGTCCACAGAGCATCGGCAGAGACAGGAAAGTATGAAGAGTGCTCATGAGGACTCCTAACAAGCTAGGAACTCTTAAAACGGGCTGCTGCTGGTCATGGATGGATGCATCAAGCTCACATATTCCAGAAAGAGGAGAGGCATTCAAACATACATAATGAATTAAATCACAGTGCCAGGTAGGGAGGGTTGGATGCCTGAAACTCTAAATCAAAAGCAGCCAGGAATCTGTATACTAATGCCCGTATAGATTGGCTGAATTTTCTTTTAATGCCGTCAAACTAGGTTAGCCGTCTTTCTCGGAGTCTTCACTCTCCCTTTTCATTTGGCCCACCCTCATCCCCGAGCACTCTTTTACATAAACAGCTTTGGTTGACTTGATTGGGAGTCCTTTTGATGTTTTGACCTGCCTTCTTTATCAAGCCCTCTCTGCATCTGTCGAGCTAATGAACTCTTTTCAGCCTCTATTTACAGCACGGGGAGTTTGTTATTCACATCAGGATTTACGCTTAACGCCATGATCATTACCAAAGGTCTCGGGGCAACGTCAACATGAAACCTCATCCCCCCGATATAATTTGAGTGCATCTTTGGAAGCCTCTCCTCAAAGGGAAACAATGACACTGATGCGCTTTGAGAGTCAAAGCACCTGCTAAGGAGGGAAACCCTTCACTTCTGAGACACTGAATAAAGTTTTCACTTTTCACACCAGGCTGACTGCTTTACATGAGAGTATGAAGGCTGCACAGTACCTAGTATTTAATAAATATTTGATAGTATAAATTATTAATTATTATTGTGGCATATTTTCACCCTCAATATATCTACAACATCTATGCAAGTTTTTTTTGTTTTGATAATTTGTTCATTAATAGTAAAACAAGCCCATGACAGTTTCCCAAGACTCAAGAAATCACATTTAATTGATGCGATTAAAATTAATTCACTTCATTCTTACAGACAACAAAAATATTGAGAAAATTAATCTTTTAAAAAAAGGTTAATGATTATGGATCAGTAAACCTGTTCTTGATTAATTTTATTTTGGTGAAGAAACTGATTAATATGAAATATTTTCAGTTTCTTTTGTGCTCTCACTCTAAAGGTCACATGAAAAAAAAACTCTCTGTATTTTAATTAATCTAAATGTCAAAATCTGTCATTTTAATGAGCAATAACTATTTATATAGTCACGTGACACTTTATAGTATCATGTCCTGCTAATGTAGTGGGTTGGACAGCTATGCAATGAGGTTAAACTAAATATGAAGCTCCATAAAGATTTTTTCTTTCAGTTTACATGATTTCTCTTATGCACAACACAACATTGAGCAAGAGATATGATGCAATGCTAGCTAAAAAAGCCCATTAACAATACGTGCATCCTTACAGAGTACAGGTATGTCTGCAATAACCTCTTTCACAAGTGAGGGTCATTTTCCTATTGTTGCTACATTGTTTTACAGGTCTCTCTAAAAAGCCGCAGCTTGTTCAAAATGCTGCTGCTCGAGTCCTCATTAACACCAAGAAAGGGGATCACATCCCTCCGGTTGTGAGATCTTTACACTGGCTCCCTGTCTGTCAAAGAACTGACTTCAAACTCCTGCTGTTGGGTTGTAAAGCATTGAATAGTTTTAGAACCAAACTGATCACCTGCAATGAACCACCCAGACCCCTCAGGTCATCTGGAACAGGTCTGCTCTCTGTCCCCAGAGTCAAAACTAAACATGGAGAAGCAGCATCCAGCTTCTGTGCTCCACATATGGAACAAGCTCCCAGAGAACTGCAGGTCTGCTGCAACTCTGAGTTCTTTAAATCAATCCTGAAGACTTCCCAGGACCTTTTGTTGAATCGGTTAATTACTCATTTCCTACACTGCACTGTTTTTATCCTATGTTTATTTATTTTATTATTCTCTATGTAACTCCTTCAAAATCTTTTTTGTATCTTCTTATGTCTCTTTCACAGTTTGTCATAATGTCTATTATATTTTATGTAAAGAACAATGAATTGAAATGTTGAAATATGCTACACAAATAAACTTGCTTGCCTTGAATCAAGGTTTCAGGTGCTTTACAACAACAGCAAGGATTTGATGCAAAAGGGAGAGACGTCTTTTGGAGGAATATTACTTTAAACATTAAACCTTTGTAACACAAAGTCAGACAATTCCTGAGGCAAGATGCAGTGAATAAATAATGGTGTGATATTGCATCACCATCCACAGAGGTCCACCTTCACTGATAAAAGCTCATTTTTCCCATTTCAGATGACAACTCTGCCAAATTGCATGTCATTTTGCATATATCTAGCAGAATAAATGGCTCATCCCAACCGGACTCGCTCAGCCTCTATACCTATGACATAATTCATCTTTATTTGCTGCAATAGAAATTTGTTTATTGGGCCGTCAGTGGTACTGTGAAGCTGCTATCATTTTGAAATTTGTGTGCGTAGTCTGTGGCGGCTGCTGCTTCGCCGGTAGCTGCTGTTCTTGTAGCGCCCAGCGGATCACTGTGTCACTGCTGTTTGCTTCCTTGTACACAAAGATCTTTTACTGTGTCGAGTGGCCCCGTTGACAGGTAACAATGGCAGCAGCTGAAGGGGGTCCCTGCAGAACCGGCAGTCCTTTAGGAACAGAGCCTGGAAAAAAACTGCCATGGGGTTCACTAGACCCCATTACAAGGAGCACAGACATAAGACAGCAGCAGCAGCCCAATAACACAACTGCCTCCCGTCAGAAATCCGACATATATTGACATCTAATTGAAGATAAACTAAACCATTTGTGTTTTGAAATGGACAAAGGCACTGTATTGACTAAGACCGAGAAAATGAAATGTTTAAAGGTCCACATGGAACAGCTCAATAAAGAATGAGAAGGACAGGTTGTCTTTTAACTCACGGAAATATTTTTTTAACAGTACAGAGCTAATATTGATTGGTACCAGAATGCAAGAGCTAATTATTCACTGTTGCTTTTCCAAACCGAAACACCCCCAATCTCGATCTACTCCTCCGTGCCTGAGTAAATACTTTCAAGATGCAGTGCACAACGTGACCTATGCTTTACATCAATCCATTTTCCTTGGCCATATTCTCAGGCAGCTTGGGGTATTTTATACAAATATGACGAAGATGTGTACTCAAACTCCCCTGATGCTCCTTGCGAGTGAGAAAATGAAAGGCACGTCTCACTACCTAGACTTGTGAAATAACAGCTGGGATGCAATATAGACTAAAATGAAGAGTGTTTCTCATTCACCTTGAATCTTGGCTGAGATCCCAGATACAAATACGTAAAAAAAGACAGAGACAAAAACTTGGTTTAAAGAAGGAGTGGCCCATATCCTCATGCATAATCACAATGTTCAATATTATCCTAATCTAAGAGATTATCGCTAAAATCGAACAGTGACAAGGACACACAAGTATTCCCATCATGGTAGCACTGTGAATTATCTCATATTAATCTCGCTGTGTTCTGAGTTTAATGACTTGTGCAAAAGAGTCAAAGAGTCAAGGGCAGATGGAATTACGTTTGCATGCAGAATCTAACCTGAAGCTCCAGCTGATTTTACAGTGATATCTAATATGTTGGCTTTAATGTTTAAAGCCTAAGAGATTCCTTTAGTACAGATACTTAAAACTGGAGAAAAAAAACTGTTGTAGCAGCTTGTCTTGTGTAACACATTATAACACAACTGCAGTGAAATATGCACAAAGCCTGATGACACATCTCGAGATTATTCAACTACAGATCGGATCTTGACGTGCGACACCAGCCATGGCATCTACCTGTGAGAAGTCAAGATGAGAGCAGCAACTAATGATAGTTTTCATTATCAATTTAGCAGCCAATTATTTTATGTTTGGAGTAGTGAAAAATACCTAGTTCAACATTGCAGAACCCAAACCGTCTTGTTTTGTCGACGACCCGTCAGAGACCCAGAAATATTCAGACAAGGAAAAGCAGCAAATCGTCACATTTGAGCAGCTGGCGCCATCTTTGTATTTTTAGTTCCCTTCCACTCAAAAAAAGACATGTGTGCAGAGTTTGAGACTAAGAGGCTTTTGTCATGTTCATCTGCTGAAAGGAAACGTTTCTCTGTGCCCACCTGAAATCTCAGTTTAAGACATGTAGGTTGCAAAAGTGTACAATTCTCTGACATTTCATCTGGTTTAGAGACAATAGTTGTCAAATATGTGACTAACGAGTGTGATGTGGAAACTCTCTGGTGCTCATGCACCCTGAGAATGGACTTTTCAGTGAAGTAGAAGACATCTTGTGTCTGGTAGTTAAATATAACAAAGACTACTTGCATATTCATAGATTTTAATAATAACAACTATAATAACTTTATTTTTATAGCACTTTTGAAAACACTTTTCAAAGGGCTTCATGAAGTAAGACAAATGAAAGAAAGCAGGAGACGAGGGGGAAGGAATATACTGGATGTAGTTTTAAGAAAAAACTGGGTCAAATTAATTACTTTTCAAATGTCAGGATCAAAAAATTACTTAAACAGGGAAAAGATTTTCAGAATAGTTACATGTAGTTTTTATGTTGATCAGTTAATCCATTAGTCGAATAGTTGTTTAATGTCCCAATGTGCTTATGTACATTGACATTACCTAAAAAATTATATTATGTTCCAACAATAAAAAGTTTCAGTATCTGATAGTGAAGAAAATATTAGTGAATGTTTAATGATGAAGTGGAATGGATGCTTGCTAAATGAAGATTATTACAGATATGGAGGATGGACAAATCTACACAAAAAAATAATTCTTTCCGAATACTTTAGCCTAACTAAAAACATTTTGTGGTTGTCTGTTGCAAAAAGTAAAATTTTAAGACATTGAATTTCAGATCATGTATTTAATATTGCATCTGGGACTCCATTTACACCTGGCATTTAAAAGCATGTCAGATTCAGATTGTATCCCGATTTTAACCTGATTTCATTTCCACGTGATGCCTCCAGTTTCCGCACTGAGATTGTGATCTGATCACTGTCCAGTATGTGTCACATCCTCCTCCATCTATCTGTTACGCTTCCGTCCATCCATATGGTTCATGTGTTTAGTGGCTAACAGCTGCTAGCTGCCTCGCTGCTGCCTCCCACGGCGTATGGAATAGTTGCGCGCCATCATTATTTCCGCCCTCATAGTATGTGGATGGACAACGCTTGTGTTCATTGGATACAATGTGTCGCTGATCATCTCTGCATGTGGTTTGGCCAGTTGCATCACAATCTGTTGTCAGTGAATTGCTGGTGCAGTTACACCTGCACTGTCATGTGGCTAAGCTCTATCTGATTCAAATCCAATCACCCACAACACATTGGAAGGTGTAAATGGAAGATGAGGCACGGGGACTTACGTCTAACATCTTTGAAGTAGATGGTCTGCCTGTTGGGGTTGAGCAGCTGGATGACAGAGTCGTCGTTGTCCTTCACTCTGCAGCTGATGGTGGCCATTTCCCCCTCGATCACCGACACATTGTCGGTTGCCAGGTTCTGACCTTCGACTTCACGACACAGACAAAGAATACAGATGGCAGATTGACATTTCAAATGGGAGACAAGCGTCCTTGTCTGGACATGTACAATCAAATATTTATATGTCTTACTGCGGGGACTGCTTGTCAACACATGCACAGTGTGAAGATATGTGAATAGGCTGTGTAGATTGTTGGTTTGCAGTCATGTCTAATCCTTTTAATATAAGAGCCATGTGCAATGTTTGTCACTATTGATCTCCCCCAGCTCAGAGTGGGCCCTGTGAGTCAGTGCCAGATGGGCTGTAAGCTCTGCTGCCCACTAAGGTAGAAAGAGAGGAGAGGGTAGGAAGAAAAACAGAGAAAGAAAGAGTGTAAAAAAGTGGTGAGTAGTGGATATGGCAGAGGGGAGGAGGGGAGGCAGAGAGGGGGAGTTATAGAGAGAAGAGAGCGATGAGCCAGGCTGGATGCTGTTTATGGTTAAGCTTTATCAGAGCCCTCCATCTGAGGTTCCATGTGACCAATGTGTGCTCAGTGGTTCTGTTCTGTATTTCCAGGAATAAAAGTCTAAGTCCCTCTCTGTACACTGGCATTGTTGCCACACACAGACCCTGGACCTTGTCATCGTAACTTACACGCCACTCCAAACCCAACACAAAAAGCCTGGATTTGTCTCCCCCCATCTTCCACAAGAGAGAGGGAGAGAATCAAAAATCACCTTGTGCTATATTTATCTGTCAGAAGCCAAAAAGCATCAGGAGAATGGAGAGCATGTTTTAAATGTCTTAGATTCAGACCAGCGGAGGAACAACACTCTCAGCCACAGACCCAAGAAAACATCAAAAGCACATTTGCATGCCCAAGTTGTCAGACACCTCGATTGCATTCTGACATTTACAAAGTGGAAGGAAAAAAAAGACACCTGCATTTTCAGATAGTGATAATGAGAATAGACAGCCAAACTAACATGATTCAAAATGAACTCTGTGAATGCGGCAAGAAATAAGAAATTAACCTCCTGTGGAGAAACGCTCCTCAGACCTGTCTGATGTAATGAACTACCCATTTCATTCCACTCTCCTGCCAGGCCTCAGGTTCAGGACAAAGGGAAGGTAAGTGGCAAAAAAAGACACAGATTGTATCCAAAAAGTACACACCACCGTCTATTAAAGGTTTATAGTTAATCCATGGCTGAGTTTTAATGCAGTTTATAATTACAGGTAGTCAATGTGCATAATTTAAACATACAATGTGATACTTTGGCCACTAGGAGTCTTTCAATCAAAACAATAACAAAAGAACGAGTCTGATGACGTTGTGAGGCAGCGTGGGATCATGGGAGCTGTCCTTACCACTTTTGCCACTGAAAATCTACCTGATGCGACTCAGGCACAGTTCGTGTTCACAGATGAGGTAATGTGTTAAAGTTTTATTCAAGTTATGCAGCAAATGACAATGAATATTCATGATCCATTGCGATTGACCAATAAAGTGCTGACTGGCTAACAGAATGTTTTTCAATCATCAAAAGTCGCCCCAGAAGTTGCAGAGACAAACAAAGTCACGGCTAAAGTGGATGTGATGCACCTAAAAGGCAACCAAAATAGATTTGGGGAATTCTTTGTGTTTGAACAATTTAGGTGATGTAAGTACACAAGTTAACAAAATATATTATATATTTTGTTGTTTTTCGAAAGTTTGAAAAACAATTGCTAAGTATTGCACTTAAAGGTCTCATTCAAGTTAAAAAGGACTCATACTGTTTTCAAATTGTGTTAATGTTTGCGTCACAGTAGCAAACACCAAACCGCAACGCGGCTACCACTATCAGCTTGACTGCTGTCCAAAGCCAGTGGCGACCATGAAAATACCAATTTGAACTTGAAACCCAGTGCTATGGTGAAGGCAAATTAAAAAAAAACTGGCTTATATTAAGAAGTGGGAAAGTTTTGTTGACTGATTTAGTGGGAATCAATGTGGGAGTCAGTTTTGAAGCACCTTCATGTCCAGGAACTATCGCCATTGTCTGACTAGTATGACTTGGAGTATTTACTCATGTTGACTTGTCAGTGGTAACAAAAGTTATCAGAGTAACACAGGAGATTGTAATGTAAATGGGTGTTAATGTAGACAGGACCTCCTGTTCTGAGACAACTCCTGCCAGATGAGAACACTGATGCCAGATGAGACCAAAAACCCTCAGAATAGATCTAATGCCAATGTTTTTCTGCAGGCAATGTGGTAATGGGTGGGGAATGATTGAGGTTCTCGCAAATACACTGGATAAAGCAATAGTTCATCTGACCTTCAGAGAGATGGAAAGGTTATTGCCACAAGGCTTCAACCAGCAGCAAGTTAGCTTATCTGAAGTATTACCATTGACCTTTTTACCAGGAGTTATGCTATTTCTTGGCTGGTCTGCTCCTTTTTCACAATTTGTTTTTTTGCACGAGTTATAACATATTAATTTGAGAGCTGTAGAGATGCTTGCATGATGTGTTACTTTTGGGCAAAGGTGGTTTACTTCCAATGGTTGTGCTAAGCGAAGCTTACCAGCAACTGGCCCTTGGTGCATTTTTACTATAAAGATATCAGACTAATATCAATTTTCTCATCTTACACGCAGAAGGAAAGTGAATAACCATATTTCCCCAAACTGTCTAACTATTACTTTAAAGTAGGGTTGAGGTTAAGGTTTCAGTTAATAAAAACTGAACATTAATTGCGGGTCTGTGACAGGACGTGAACTCAGGTCATAAAAATCAGACTTGCGACATGCCCATTTCACACTCTTAATTTCCACTTTGCTACATATAGGGCACAATATTTCCTGCACTGGTATGAAACACTGGCACTGGACATAAATTTTGAAGTGCAGGGTCGTCCAATATGGATTTAATTCTGGGTTGGCTCCAATGTACTACTTTACTTCAAAATCAGTGTACTACTATTGGGGGTTTAACAGGGAGAGATGATGATAGATACATACAGATATACTGTAGACAGACTGTGCTAAATTAGTAATGTGCAAACAGAATATAATATCCTTTAGGTATGGCTTATAATAGAAACATTTGTATTCCTTGTAGCTCTTTAGCAAGGTAGCCTGGTAGTTGAGAGTTAGCCACATAAGCTGTTTACAATCTATAGTAAAATAAATAAGTTAAAACATTGCTAAGATAATCACAGAACATCCATTCAAAATAATATTGGATATGTGAGGTCAGACATATGAAAGTCCGTGGTGATACCAGGTGTGCTCCGCTCCTCTGTTCATGCACGTAGCGCTGCTGGAGATGACGCAAGAGCAATGCAAAGTGTTTTGATGTCTATTTTATTTCATTGCTGTAAAAATAATATATTTGGCAGCCAAAATGGCAACACAGAGCAGCCTCAAAGCAAGGTTACTCTGCTCCCAATCTGTTGGACTGAGAGAAAGGGAATGAAATAGATGAATTCTCCATAAGGTTTAGCAGCCCCAAGCAAGGTTGGTCCCCCTCCAATATTCCAGCCTAGGCTCATCTCCAATTCAAAACACACATAAATAACGTCGCTGTGATTAGCAATCCCATCAAAGTGAAAACAGGCCACTCTGAGGAACATGGAGGGTTTTTGCAATTGGAGTAAACATTTTCAATTGCCTCTGCATCCTGGTCATGATTGGGTGCAAATGAGGGGAGGCAGTCATTAATTCTGGGTAGTGGGTTGGGATGGAGGGGGAGTGGGCAGAGGCATGGCACAGATGACTGGCTGATAAATTCACACTCATTCCAGCAGCTGTCTGGAAGAGTAAAGTGCCTGTATCTCTACACATGGCTGCCCTCCTGTTCCCGCATCACAACATACTGAATGAAACAGTCAGAGGGAAATACAGACCTTCAAAAGTCTGTGCTCTCTCTGAGGAGATGTACAATCTGGCGTCGAGTGTTTGGCAGGGAGGCTGGGGCTCATCAGCCGCGCTCAAAATGCAAAGCAGCACCCAGCCTGGCCACTTTTGACAAAAAGTTGACGAAATCAGGAAATATTAGCGGAGCGGCTCCTCCCTTTAGAAGTTTGGAGACAGGCACCTTTTGAATCAAGTTGGCTCCCTCTTTGATCTGTTCTCTCTTGTTTGGACATCAAAAGACATGAAAGAGGAAGCAAAAAGCTGGACAGCCGACCCCCAATTCCTCCTCCCGGAGTCACCGCTGTCGTGTCCTTTCAAGGAACAACTAGGACTATAGACAGTCATTAACAATAAAAGTTTCCCCCTCTCAGTCTCTGATGATGCCTTTTCACCACCACGTCTTTATCCCGCTCAGTCATTAAACCCTGATCCTTATGATGAAATGCTGTTTTAAAGATGTTCACAAGCGAGACGGCTTCTGTCTCAGGGTATAATTAGCGCTGTGCCATTTCCCTGAGACCCTTCACATGGGAAGTTTTCAAAAATGTTCATACCCATTAATTTGACCATCTTTCGACTTTTTTTTTTTTTTTTAGAACCAAAGATAAGTTCTCTCAGAGGCTCTGTGTAACCATTTGTATAATGATGCTACAACATGACTAGAACATAAGGATGTTCGAACTGAGAAACACATGTTCTCTTATTTTACCAGGGGAAACATGAGGTGTTGTTTCTCTCATGTACAAATAAATGAGTTGTGTATCTTAAATGATTGGATACCACCTTCTAAAGAATAAATGCCAGGAAAAAAAATATTTTTACAACCAGGCAATGCAAAACAGACTTGTTTTGACTTGCATGGTTTTCTTGCCATTAGAAAAATATGTATATCTATAAAGAATTTATGACAGCTGATAACTGCACCCTTAAATGTTGAATGTTTTACTTTATTACATTCATTTGTCAGATACAGAGAAGTAATGCCTCCCACAACCTCCAACTCTAATTAAGTAAACACATTTTAGGCGAAGTGCATTTAAGTCTTGCAGCAATTGTAGTTGGGGTTTGCACCTAGATGAAAGATGAAAGTGTTTTGCACGCTGTTCATTTATTAGAAAGTGGTACCAATAATGTGTTTTCTTACTTCTTGGCTTTTTGGTTAATTTAGATTCAACAATAGCTGCCCAAACCACACAATTACTTTTGTTTAACCTCAGACCATGTTAGAAAGGATATTAAGAAAAACAGTGTTAGTGCATTTGTTTAAGTGAAGTGCTTGTGTGCAGACATTGGAGAAAGGAGAAGAGAGATACTCACTCACATGTCATGACAACGTGCTGAAAGAGCCAAATGTTATTTGAATATTTTCTGTTACGAACAATTTTATATGAGAATAATTGTTTAGGGAATCATTTTTAGCCATTTTCCATTCTTTCTACATTTAAAATGATAAAGACCACTAGCAAAAGTGGACATAAGAAACTGCATGTGACTTATATATATAAATATATTCTATTTGATACAGGGTTTTTTTCAGATCTGTGGTTCTGCGAGTTTCCCCCAGTCCTTCACTTGAAATTTTAAGGAATGTCAAGAGACAGTGAACAACAAACTAAAGTGGGGACCAAATTGCCTGGAAATTTGAAATCTACATATGGCAGAGTGTTGATGTGAGAATAAAAAGAATGGATTGTCATTGTGAGTGCATGTCTCTCTCCTCCCTCCTGAAAAGAAAAATACCAACATAACCAGCCATTCTTGTAAATATGCACAGATGAACAGGCTGCGATGGACAGCCAAACAACAGACACAGACAGAAGCGAGCAAGTCCAAATGAACAGAAGGTAGCAAAAAATAAAAAAGAAAGAAAGAATGAGTACCTGTCACGGTTTCAGCAGCTCCTGTTGCAGCGCAGGCGAAGATGAGAGGGGAAGAGAAGAAAACAGACAGGTTGTGAGCTGACAGGACTTAAGCATAGAGTCATATTCCACTGGTACCAAAAAACATACACATCATTTTTTAAGAGGTGAGTTGCAATTAATCAAACGAAAGCTCCATATATAATACAATTTATAACACAGATTAAGAGAAATACACAAAAGGGCATCATGATAAGCAAATAGTACAAAATCCAGCAATTCTATATTTCCACGGGTGTATAATCCTGACATAATGAGCCATTTTTCTCCCTTCATCCGTTTACCCTGCATGTAATATTAATATAGAGGAACAGAGGGGATATGTGGACATTGTTTTCTGCCCCTCATGTCCCTGATTAAGATTCCAGCCAGCCCTGCTATGGAGCAGCCACTGCCTGGAGATGCTCCCCTGGGACCTGCAGTGTATCCTGGAGAAGAGAGAGCACCCATTCGGAACAGTGCCCACCCAAACTGGCATCTCACAGGGCATGGGAGACTGGCGTGTTCCCAAGTCCCTGCAGCAGTGCTCAGGGACTGTACCCTCGGGAGAGCTTCCATCATTCATTGTCTGCTATTCATAAACAACCCCCCCCCTCTCTCTCTCTCACACATGCACGCACACACACCTCCTCCCCCTGCTGCACATCCATATCTACATTTATTCCATTTCACACACCCTATTCTAATATATTGACATTCCACAGACTTTGGGACTTCTGTACTCCGGCTGTAAGCAATACAAGCAGCAGTGCTGAGCATACAGTCTGTTGAAGTGACTGCTTGTCACACTTGTCATTGCCGGTATAATAAGGGTGTAAGGTATGACACATGTCCTTGTTACAGTCCTTTGTGCATTTTCAATGTGTCAGCAATTCCCCCGGGACAAAAAGGTGTGAGTGACAAATCACACGCGATGGGAAACAACTTTTGAACATTGTCCAGAAGTCGGCTGCGATATCTGGCTGTCCAGTGTCAGTCAAACCTCTGTCTTTATTGTGTAATAATTGAATGTAATGAGGCTTCTGAGGCTATTCTGCTCCAGCTGAAAGCGATTTGAACAAAAAGAGACCCGGAGTGATTGAGGTTGATAGCCAGTCTGAAACTCAGAGGCTGATCGAGTGCACCGTATGCGTCCCAGTCCAATCAGCCCCCAGGACAGCTCATAATGAGGCTTTTGAGCTGCTTTAATTGCCAGGTAATTATAATGTTGTAGCAACATTATGTAAATGACTCATTATCATCTTGTATGTGTAGTATATCTGCCCTCATTTTATGTTACTTTGTCAGCAGTGTAACCCAGAAAAACGCATCCGCCTGATAATGGGGCATCTCAGTGTTTAATCTTGTCAACAGAGGCCTATATATAAACAGAGGGACTTGTGATATAGTACGGTGACACCTTCCCTAACCCTTCACTATCATCCACTTCCTGCTGGTGGCCTCTGAAAGGCCTATAAATAGCTCTTGTGGTGTGTCTCCTGCGCTCCCCTTCTCTCCTCTGTACCTGCAGCACATTAGGTAGAAGTTATGAGGTGCCAGCCCGCCCGTGATTAGATGTCATGGCTGTCGCTCTGCTTAGACAGTGCTGATAGACAGATTTCTGGGGAAATGCATGTGATGGCGTTCGTGCAAGTGCAGCCATTGCACCAATCTGTCAATCACGCGAGGGATGAGAGCAGGCAGGCCAGTCGTCCCTCCAAATAATGTCTGTTCTTGTCTCCTCACTTATTTCTCCTTTTCATCCAAATCTCATTCTCCCGTTCCACACAATGAGCAGCATTATGTTTGGAAACAGAAAAGTGGAGCATTTTCCTCTCTCCTTCCACCGTGATGCTATGTTTCCTGCAGAAAACAGGACCACAATACATCACGCTTTCTAGAAGAGCTGAGTGTCTACGTGTCCTGGTCTTAAGGCATCTGTGTTCAACCCATTGTCACCACTATGAATCCATAATAATCTGCACTATTTTTTCAGTCGCTGAGGCAAACTCAGATCTCTGGAGACTGGATGTCTGTGTGGTGAGAGTGGCACATAGCCTCCCTCGCTCTCTCTCTCTCTCTCTCTATCACAGCTCAGTAAAAGCAGTGGGGTAACACTAATGAGACAACATTTCTCCTCAGTACTAGTGCGATGCCTTTGAATTAATGCTGCTCCTTTCAGGTAAAACATTCCCTTGCTTATTTTATGCTCATGATCTGCGGCGTGTTGCATGTCAGCCAAGTGTGTGATCGCACTGCATTAGAGGACACAGCAGAGTTGGATGCTGGAACTCTGTAGTTCCCCATAGAGATCCACACTGGGTACTGTCTGATTGTGTGTGTGTGTGTGTGTGTGTGTATATGTGTGTGTGTGTGTGTGTACGTGCGATGCTGTCTCACTGTGGGCAGCCCACTGTGTTTTCATTTAATTAGAAGGATCAGAGGTGGGCTTCAAACTTTTTTCTCCTCTTAGAAAAACGGACGGAGCAGTGAGCTCCTGCAGAGTGAACCGAATAAACACGGACAACTTCTGAGGTCAGGATTTTCACAAAAGAAACCGATCAAAGAGTCTCAGCTGTCCCTGCAAAAAGAAAAAAAGAATTTCCAGCACCTTATGCTCGTCTTTGATGTCAGGGATAATTATTTTCAAATCTACATTAAAGAATTACATGACAAGATGCTTCATTGATACTCACACCTAAATGCCCTTTGCATATGTGAAGTAGAACTGGTGAGTTTCCACAATGTGCAGAGTTTTCAATGTTAGGCTCCTCACTAAGTGTTTCACATCTCAGATTGTCCGTCCTCATGAAAAAAGGCCAAACTCCATAAAAGAGATGCAAGCCATTAATCTGTTAATCAGGTCAGCAGAAAATTTGTCAGCAGCAATTTTGAGAAACCATTAATTGGGTTTAAGTTGATACAAGTTTAAGAAAAAGTGACAAAGTTCAGAGACTCCAACTTCTCAAATGTGAATATTTTGGATTTCTGGATTTCTTAGTCATATATGATGGCAACATTTTAGACAGGGAATGTTTGTTTGACAAAGAAACAGATTGAATCTTGTGTTTTTCTTTTGCAATTTTCTAGTCTATCAATTACATTTTCAGAAAATAATCATATTTAATCTGCATCAAATACCCAAATACCTACAAATAGAACAAACAAGAACTATACACTAGGGGGCTGAGGGTGGATGGTGGACTGAAAGTGAGTGAAGTCAAATATGCATGTTATTTAATCAGTAATGCACATTAAAAAGCAAAGTAAAGTTTAATATAAATTATGCTGTCATGATTTCTTTTTGTTCCAATATTGGTATGACAGATAAAACTCTTTTGTATTCAACTTAATTTCAGACAAACTATCAAAAACAAATTTTTCAAAACTCTATTGACAGCAGAGCGAAGTGGATGACTCCCAAAGAGCTATGATCAGTGTCCCAACATGGTCGAAATCTAAACGCTTCCTTCATTGCTTTAAAATAACTCCCTTTATGGTCCTGGTGCACTTACAGTGTGGCCTGTGGTATTATATTTGTTTGTATATTTGCATTTGGTGTGTGTCTGGACTTGTAGCTTGTTTAACCTTAATGTTTGTGCTTTTACTCATGAATGTACTTTGTCAGTAGGTAATTATCAGCAGCTCTTCTCCATCTGCTGACGAAGCAAGTGAACGGGCCTTGATTTGCGATTGCTTAACTTTAAACCAACAGGAAGAGAGGTCTGCTCTGGATAACATAATAATGATCTCCTGTTCACATGTCAACTCAATCAGGTCCATGAAATCTCCAGCAATCAATAAAGACAGTAATATTATCGAAAGCTCTAAAGAAAGCCAGAAAGTCGACTTTGAGTTATTATTCTTTCCATGTTCATAAATGAGGTTAGATGCCTATTATTGGAGAATTGAATTGTAATAAATCATGTATTTATACAACCTCAGAGGAGTGTTTTCATTACACTGTAAAAAACGCTGTTTGTGCATTCCTAAATCCCAGTGCTAATTTAGCTGCATCTTACCCACTTCTGCTTTATCACCTCTCAGGTACAGCTTAATCCACCCTGAGCTGTCAGCGAGGTATCAGAAAAACACTCACCTGTAAACAGCACTGGGAATATTCAGATTAATTCTCCCCTGAGAGTCGACCGCAACATATTTATCCGGTCGGCTTATAGGAGATGCAAAGCATGTTCCTGCTTGATAAACTGTAATAAATAGGAGATTTAGAAAATATTCCCATAGATGTGGTTAATTGCTCACTCATCGTTGATTGAATACGCTTTGTAAATGTCCAATCTATGACCGGAGTGTTTGTGTTGTGCTCGTGAGGACACCTGTAGCTGCAGACAGTTTTTAGGTTGGGAGATTAAGGGATAATCCTTCAGAAATGCAGGCAGATAAAAAGCAGCATGGAATTTGGTGCCCTGGCTCCTCTTAGTTAAGTGCTATGGGTATCTACAATTGCACATAAATACCAACAGAAGGACGTCCCCCTTGAATCAAAGGCTAATATTAAGACGTTTCAGCATCAGTGACGTCTTTGAAGACAAAGAAAGCCGTGTAATCTCATTGGTGAACCGGGTCTTGTCACTCACCACCACACATGAAATTGTCTCTACTGCTGACAGAGGGAAAGAAAAAGCCACTAGCCACTTTAATGACAACTCTGCACAGCTCAGGTAGTGTTCGCCTCTCGCAGTTGTGTCAAGTCAAAGAGGGAGCACTAACACTTTTCTGACAACTGTAGATGGCAGGCTGTTTTTCCACACAGCCTTGCATGACAGACACTGAGTTCTCCTTGTAACCCCCCCACCCTCCTCCCAAAAAAAAAACTGCATCAAAATGCAGAAAAAATAGAAATGAAGTAAAAAAAGCCTGGTTGCTTAATATCACAGTGACACATCTATCAAAGGGTAATTTGACATGAAACAACACTATTCTACCAGAAAGGATGTCTCAAATCAGTAAAATACCAGACAGGAGGAGTTTTATAGTAATAC